CCCTTGCCGTGGAGTCTGGAAAGAAACCTGTGCTGGAAGGATGTCCAGCTAACCCTCTGGGGCAACTGTGAGGCTGGGTGGAGCGAGTGGTGTGGCAGTGGGGCAGGAGGTGCGGGATGGGCTCGCTCACCTTGTTGCCAAGCAGCATGATCACCACATCCCTCTGGGCATACTCATGAATCTCAGTGAGCCAGGCCTGTGGGAGACGACGAGCTGAGCCAGGCCAGGCCTGAGACCCAGCCCTTCCCCCCTCTCTCTCCCCTGCCCTTCTTCCGTCCTGTTGGTTTTCCTGGGCTACTCACTGCCCTCCCTGATTTCTCTCATTTGCATCTTTGTACTGGCCTCTCCAGTCTTGATCAGTTTTTCCCAGCCAACCCCAAATGCCGCAACTCCCTGTTCTAGAGAAGCCGGAGGTGGCAGAGCTTTCTCTCCTAAATCAGCTGGGAGTCATCAGCGATTTCCTGGCTGCCCTGCTGAGGATTCTAAGGCCACTTCAGGGCTCAGTGATCAAAAATACTGTGATTGATTAGTGATGTCTACCAGGAGCATGAAGTCAGAGGTGGCAACGAATGCCACAGATCTCCATCCTCTTCATAAGCTGTTTTATATCTGTATGTTTTGGTTTCTCCCCCCCCCCCCCAAACCCCACCCCTATTTGCTTGGCAACCCCTGAGGTCAGGCAGCTGTGAAACCTTTATGGTGCTGTGCACACAGTGGGTGTTTGTACTTGTTGAATTTTTATCCCTACTCTCTTTTAATGGTTTGGCGGGGACAGAACTGCTCACTGCCTGAATCACTGTCTTGCAAGCTGGGCTGGATGTATGGGTAGAGACTTTCCTGCCTGGGTTCTCCCCTTGGCCTCTGTGGGTAATTGTCCAGGGTGGAGCTGGGTACTTTCTGAACACTCTGTCATGAAATGCGCTCATGAATCACGGGCAGGGCCAAGCAGGTGGCACAGGCACCCAACAGCCTGCCTGGCCTTTATGCCCACATGCTGCCCAGGAGCAGTTTATTACTTCTGAGTCACAGCTCAGGTGTTTTTCAAAAGGCAGCGGTGTTCTGGGTTCCACCCCTTCCCCATAAAGCAGGAAGCAGTCCTAGCCTGCAGAGGCCCCGCCCCGGCTGCTTCTGGGTGGCCTGTGGAGGGGACCTACCCGGATGTTGTCAAAGGAAGATTTGTTGGTGATGTCGTACAGCAGGAGCAAGGCTGCGGGAGGAAAGAGAGCTCACACAGGGGACGTGGGGCGGAAGGCTGGGCATTACGAGTGGGCTTGGGAAGGACTCACCCTGGGCATCTCGGTAGTAGGCATGGGTGACGCTGCGGAACCGCTCTTGCCCGGCGGTATCCCAGATCTAGGAAGGGACAGACAAATGGTCAGAAGGAGGCAGCCTGCGGGGACTCTGCTGGGTCGAGTGAACCCACTCTGGAGTGTAAGAGATGTGTGGGGAGGTGGGCTGTTTCCTCCTGTAGGTGCTCAGGGCCTTCTGAACATCTGATGGTGCCCCGGAGGGGGGCATTAAGTTCTCAAGCTTGGTCAGGCTATAGCCCCTTCCCTAGCCCAGGGGTTGGGGGTGTCCTGTCTCCTAGAGCATATGAGGCCTGGGAAACTGGCGGTGGGGGGGGGGGGGGCTGGAGCAAGCCGAGGCTTGTCTGAAGGCATGTGGAGCTGCCTTTGATAGAGGGTGCTGGGAACTGCTTTTTCAACAAATATCAAACAAACAAAAGCCGTTTCCTCTGGGCCCCACAGGAAATTGCCCCAGGCGGAGGGCAGGGCTGGGGGCCTTCTGTGGTTTGGGTGAGGAGCAGGGGCGGGGCTCCACCATCACCCTCTTTCCCCGGCAGCCTCCTTCTCACCTGCAGCTTCACCCTGACACCATCCACAGTCACCACTTTGTTCTGAAAGAGAAAAGGGCGGAGGGAGGGTGGATTTGGAAAGCAGGGGAGGCTGGGGTCCTAGGCATCCAACAGAGCAGCAGACATCCTGCTGGTGGCTCCCCAGGGCTAAAGGGGGTGCGGTGAGCCCGGGAGGCATCTCCAGCCAGATCACCCCTTCAGGGCAGCAGAACCCTGTCTCCAAATATCCCCATGACACAGTTCTCCCTTCTGGGGACTTGTCTGCTAACATGCCAGGGCCGGAGCCCAAGAACCTGCCTGACTCTCCCTAGACCTCAGCAGGCAGCACAGGACTGGGGGAGCCCCCGCCTCTTTCCCACTTCCACTCTCTCCAAGGCGAGCCCTTAGAGATAGGAAAGAGGCGCCCCCCCCCCCCCCCGCCCCAGCATCCTGGGCACTAACAGAGGCTGGATCAGCAGAATCTGCTTTCCCCTAGCTGCTCACTAGTTCTCCAGAGGGAAGCTTCAGTTCTCCTCCCATTGGGAGGGAGGCACCCAGCCTCTGCACAGCCTCCTTCCTCCCACCCTCCAGCCTGGGTTAGACCTTACTCTCCCGGAACCTTTGTGCTATGTCCCTGCTGCAGATCTGTAAACATGGGTTCCTCAAGACGAGAGGGAGGGAGCCTGGTGAGCTGCTCTCTCCCCACAGGCCCAGCCTGGCTCTTCAACCTAATGTAGTGCTGTGCTCCTGGGAACTCCAGAAAGACAGGGAGACCTCTGAGGCCTTGCCAGAAAGGCCCAGCTCAAGGGGCAAACAGCAAGGGGACCGAAGGCCAGGAAACTCAGCTCACACCCTGGGATGTGTCTGCCCTGTTCTGGGGCAGACTTGTAAGACTTATCCTATAGGTGGGCAAGGAGCCCACCATGCCCAGACTCCTTGAACCTGGCCACCTCTGTGGTCCCTGGTGCCCTCTGGACAGTGAGCCACAGCAGCTCTGAGGAGCCAGGGCAGGCAAGGAGAGGACAGCACCCTGGGCCTGAGCTGTGGTCCCCCTGGCTTGCTGCTGGCAGGAGGAGCCTACAGCCACCTCACCCTGAAGTCTATGCCGACGGTGGCTATGAAGGTCCCGGACAGGAAGGCCCCGTCTTTGAATTGGATCAGGAAACAGGTTTTGCCAACGCCTGAGTCTCCCAGAAGCATCACCTAGGAGATGGGGGCAGAGGCAGTTAATGGGGAGTTGGGTCAAATTTCTGGGCATCCAGGGAGAGAGGCCCTAGAAAGAGGGGCAGAGGGCCAGGGACGGATGCTGTCAGCACTGAGGGGCACCTGCTTCTGGAAAGCCCGCTGCTGCCTTCACCCTGCCTCTCCTTGGCTCAGCTCATTTCTCAGGCCCTCCCTCTGACTCTCTTGTCCTCACCTAATTTCCTGGAAGCCCGTGTTGAGACCTCAGCACTAACAGGTGAGCAACTGTGCTTGGTGGCCCCAAAGAACCACCACTTACATGGTCCAGACTCTCGCCCCATTCTCCTCTTGCCACACCAAGCTGGGATTCCCTCTCTGTCAGTGTGGATTCTGCATGTGTGCGCCTGGGTGGATGGGGCTATACTGCCCAGAAGGGAAGTGTTAATACCTTGGACAGGGATTCCCACCCATGGGAGGGGATCAGATCTGATGGGGGAGGGCACTGTCATTTGCAAGGGCATATTCTAAAATTACGACTGCTGGGTTTTTGTTTTTTTTTTTTTTTTTTTTTTTGTCACAACATTTACCTGGAATTTTCTAATGACATTTAATGTTTACAAAAGGGTTGCATGAACTAGGGAGGGTTGAAATTGATACTGAAATGGGGAGACAATGAATCTGAAGTTCCTTCTGCAGAAACCTCTCCAGTGGGACAAATGGCGGCAAACTGGCATCCCCGGGTCCCTGTAGGGGAGGGAGTGTGGGGGTGTGTGTGTCTCTCCCCTTTATTCTTGGCCAGTCACTGCTCGTCTATCTTCTTTTGAGGACAAGTGGGGGCAGGGGAAGGGAGCCCTCTGTCCAGTCATTCCTCAATCTTGGAGACCAGAGGTCTGGACTAATGTTGGAACTTTCCCAATTGGCTGCTTACATACTTAAAGTATTGAGCATAGACTAGGCTTGAGTTACTTTTGAGGCTCTGACCTTGACAACGGAGCCCAGAGGCTTTTCTGGCTGTGAGCTCGATGTACTGGGATTAGCTAGCTTTGGTGGAAAGGTAAAGGGTCTGAGCAAAAGGGATACAGAGGCTGGGGTCCTGGCTTCTAAATGGCCTACTGAGGGACGTTAGGAAGATTTCTTAACCCTTCTGTGGCATGGTTTCCACGGTGACTAGAAGGGAGAAAGGGTGATTTCATTGAGGCCTCTTTAGAGTTGATTAACGCCTAGGACCACTAAACTGCCTAAGACTTGGGAAAGAGCGGCCCAGGGCTGGGTAGGGCCTGCCTGTGGCCCCCATTCCCTCTAATTGGGTCCAAGGAGCTCCAGCCAGGCTCTTCCCAGGCTGGCCTGCACTCAGTCTCCTGGGGCAAGCCTGGGGGAAGCAGGCTGCTGGAGGCCAGGGGTCAATTCTCCACAGATGCTGCTTGGCCCGGGGGGGGGGGGGGGGGGGGGGGGGGGGGTGGAGAGCTGGGGGCTGGGGAGCCCTTGGAGCCTGCGCTGCTCCCTGGCTCTGCATCCTAGCCCTTGAGCCGGGAGGAGGGAGGGTGACTCCAGTATACTTTACAGATCACGACCGCCTTAAACAAAAGATGCCCACCACCACCCACCCAGCCAGGCAATTCTACCAAACACAAACGGCTGCCCAGCCTTGCCACCTCCTCGGCAAATGGCCCAGCTGGACTGTCAGGCCAGGAGGTCAGGTGGTCCCCACCAGCCTAGGGGCTGGCCCTTAGCAGCTCCCCCTCCCCTGAAGGCACAGGGGCCCATTTCCTGCCACCAGCCCACACAGGACGCCTATCTTAACGGCTCTGGGTGAGTAAGTGACTTACAGACTGGCTTCCCCTGAAACAAGGGGGGGGGGGGGGGGAGGCCTCAGTCCCGGGTGGGAGTGCGCCTGGGGTGGGGGTGGGGGAGGAAACCGAGGCACAGAAAGAGGCAGGTCTCTTTCAAGGCCACGCAGCATGAGGCAGGGCAGCCCTCACTCATCCCTAAACTTGCAGAGGAAGATTGGAAGCCCTGGGCTCCCTCAGCGCCTCTTTCAGAGTTCTGGGTACCCGCCTCTGCCATGCGCCCCAGGGTGGGGTGGGTGGGGTGGGGAGGTGTCTGTCCTCCACCTTCACCTGCTTCTGTAACAGGGCAGCCCTCTAGAGGAAACCGGCCTCAGAGAGCTGACTTCAGCTCCTCCATGGGGGACTTGTGATGAACCAACAAAATCTTTCTCAGGTTCTAAAAATTCCCAGGTGGGCCTGCATTTTGGTTAGCAACATCCTCCTGGAGGAAGGCGGGAGGAAATGGCTGCCGCAGTGGAAAGGGAAGGGGTACGGCTTGGGGGCAGCTGGGGACCTAAAGAACTTCAGGCCTAAGGCCTTGAAACTGGATGTTAAGTCTCAGGGGAGAGCTTAGCTGGGAAAAGGGCGTTAACGACAACTGCTCCGCCGCCAGGGGGCGTCCTCTCTGCGTCTCCAGGCATCCCTATTTCCCACCATTCGGGATGCCTGTGCCCAGGAGGGTTGAGCGCTTAACCTTTACGCAGAGGCATGGGGTTCCCGGGAGATCATATCGCCCGGGGTGTGCAGAAGGAAATTGGGTTGGGGTCCGCTGTGTGGGCAGTCAATCGCTCCTTCCGACCTTCCTCTTCCCACCCTCGCTGAGCCAGCCCAGACGTTGGCAGTCTCCACCCTTCCTCCCTGCTCCGGGAGACCCGGCTCCCTGGGGGAAGGGCTGAAGGCAACGCAGACGCAGCCAGCCAAGAGGCTTGGGCCAGGGTCTCAGGGCAAAGGGCGTGGGAAGGGCTGGCCCTCAGAGCCGGTTGGGGAGTCCCCAGTACTGGGCACAGTGCCCACCCACCTTGCCCGTGACATCGTAGCTCGGACTGCAGGGCGGGGAGTGCTCGGGCGCCTCTCCATCCCGGGTGGCAGCGGCGCCAGACATGCCCGTCACGTCCCCTGGACGAGAGGTGAGCTAGGACTGGTGGCGGGCGGGGGACAGTGCTGGGACCTCCCCGCCTTAGGCTCCACCCAATCCTTCCCCCCTCCACCGCCCCAGCCCGGACCCCACAGTCTCCTTCCTATGTCTCGCCACCCCGAAGATACCTGCCTGGTGCAGGCTGTCTCGCGAGGGCGCGCACAACCACAGGTCAGCGCCAGAGGGGCAGGCGTGCCCCGAGCAAATTGGGCCGGCTTCGTGCTCCGAAGACGTGGAACGAATCCAGCCCGAGGACCGGTCCCCAAAGGTCGCAGGCTGCCCGGGTTAGGTTCCCACAGGGAGCCGTCTCCGGAAACCTAGCCTGTAGCGCTAGGTCTGGCAGCGCTGCGACCCGGGGTTCCGCGCCCGGGTTCCCGCTGCCGCTGCACAGCGCGGCCTGCAGGGGGCGCCCGAGCCCCGGCCAGCTGGCGGCCGACGGGCGTCCCCTGGTCGCGGTTGGGGTGGGGGTGAGGTTGTGGGCTGGGAAGGCCCCGAGGCAGCGAGGCACGATATTTGAGAGGAGGCGTGCATTCTGAGCACAGCGCTCAGGCAGTTTTGCTTTTGCTAATGCACCCCAGCCCGAGCTCCTCTGAATGTAATTTTATTTACCCACCAGAATTCACCTTGCAGCACATTTACAACTGTGGCTTTTCGCGGCCCCTGGTGGGTGCTAGGGTTTTGACCCTTTAGCACAGATCACCTCTCATTTCTCCCTGACCTGTTGGGCTGTGCCCCGAATGTTCCAGCATGGGAAAGCCTCCCCCGACCCCAAACCTCCCAATCTCGGCGCCCCTGAAGGCAGGGCTGGCCCTATTCACCTGTGCTCCTCAGCCCCTGTCCCTGAGCAGGCCTTAAATATTTAGTAGTAAATGAATTCATGGAGTCGTGGATCATTTTGAGCAGTCTCAAGGACAACCCAGGAATCCTGCAGTTCCTGGTGGCAGACAGTGGGAGTGTGGCCTGGGCGGCCCTGCCCTGCGCTTCAGGGGCTAACCATTTAATTACTCCTGTGCCAACATTCTGCACAAGCACCCACAGCTTACCATGGAACTGGGTGGCTGCATTACAGCGGGACTGACCGAAGGCTGTGTCGGGGGAGAAGGGCATCAGTACCTCTTGACTTAGGTGCTGGGGGTAAAGCGCAAGGGGCAGATGTGGCTTATGGGTGACTATAGGCCTGGTGGGGACTGTGTGTACACATTCCTCTAGCCCTGTGAGTCTTGGCATTGGCCAGAGCTATTTTCTGGAGCTGGGCTTGCCATAACCTCTTGTGTACATAGGGTGGGGCTCAGAGAGCCACCTACGGGATCAGAACTCTGCAGGTGTGCATTTATTGCCTGCTATTCAGAGGCAAGAGTCTCTTGCTGCAAATACAACCCCAGTCCACTCAGTGTCTCAGGCTCTAAGCTCCTGAGGGCTCACGAGAACCCTGCAGGGGCAAACGTTTTCAGAGCCAGAGGGTAATGGCCGAGGAGAAATGAGAGAAAGGAAGTGAGTGACATGGCCCTCGCTCACCTTCCACTGCAAACCAAAAGACTCTATTGAGGTCCCAGCCCCTAGTCCCTCAGAATGTGACCTTATTTGGAAAGGGGGTTGTTGCAAGTATGATTAGTTAAGGTGAAGTCATACAGGAATAGGGTAAGCCCTTAATCCAATATGACTGATGTCCTTATAGGAATAGGAGCGGACATGCAGGAAGAAGCCGGCCATGTGAACACAGACGCAGAGATCCGAGTGGTGTATTTACAAGCCAACAAATGGCAAGCATCGCCAGGAGCCACCAGAAGCTGGAGGAAGCAAAGAAGGAGACCCCCGCCTCCCGCCCCCCAGAGCCTTCAGAGGGCTTCTAACTTCCAGCTGTGGTTTGTGTTGTTGGCTCAGCCAAGATCCTCCTTTGTCCTGTGGTAGGTTTGGGAGAGCCAAATCTGTCCTGTCTCCTCCTGCTTTGGGCTCTCAGTGTGATTACACACTTTCTTCCTTCTGATGGGCCAGTCGTCTTGCTTTTCTTACCAGGCTAGTGGCAAAATTTGGAGGTCCCACCCCTCTGCATCTGTGGGGTGTTAGTCACAGTCTTTAGGTCCGCATCCACACCAACATTCATCCCACTGTGCACCCTCTGAGTCTGACAGGCAGATGGGCACGGAGTGGGGGAGAAGGCTGGGGGCTGTGAGGGCTCCCCCTGACCTTGTGTGCGGAGGGGCAGACTGGGCATGGGCCTGAGGTGGGGGATGCCTGGCGTGGCAGCCTGGTCCAAGGCTTCAGGAATTGTCTGGGAAGCCTTGCTCTCCTGGGACTCAGCCCTGCCCTTCCCAGCACTCTGGAGCCTGCTTATGGGAGAAACCTGCACTCTCTGGCCAGGCTCTCATTTCTTTTTTACTCTGAATCCCGGCCACCATGAGTCCTCGCCTTCCTTGCTGTGACCCAACCAGAAAGCCTAGTTTCTGGGGTTCTCCTTCTCTCTTCCCGCCAGTGTGACCATCCCAGTCCCGAGTGTGGTCCTACAGGCCCTGTGCCCTGCTCTATCCTGATCCCGAGGAGATCCAGGAAGAGACAGAGTGCTAAAAACAGAACTTTGACCCTTGGCCTGCCAGCTCCCTAGGACCCATGTGACAGTGTTAAATTTGGACTGTGCTTAAAATTTTAAGCCGTCCCTTTGCCTCTCCATATTCTTATTGCCCTAGAAAGTAGACCTGAGCAATCTATATCAAGATATCCTTTCTAGGGGTGCCTGGGTGGCTGAGCCGGTTAAGCATCTGACTCTTGATTTTAGCTCAGGTCATGATCTCACAGTTCGTGAGTCCGAGCCCCGCGTTGGCCTCCATGCTGACTGTGCGGAGCCTGCGTGGGATTCTCTCTCCCCACCCCTCTCAAAATAAATAAATAAACTTAAAAAAGGAGGCATTCTTTCTAGTTTCCAGTTGTGTTCAGCCAAAGGGGAGCCCCAGGAGATGTGGGAACAGGAGGAGAGCAGGGTAGGGGGGGAGCTGACTTGTATCCTGGGCTAGCTCCAGGAGGGTTACCATGAGTTGCTGTGTTCCTCCACTGAGGGTCACAGGTCCTGTCGGCCAGCTCTCTCCATGAAGCCTTGTGTCCCTGAGCTCTGGCTTTGGTTCCCTCCCCTCATTTTTTTAGGCTAGGGTTGGAGTGGAGGCCCTGTGTATGCACGGCCACTGCACCATACCTCCTGGTTCCCCAACACCCTGGTTCCACCTTGGTAAGTAGTCTTCTTGTTAAACCTCCCTGAATGATCCAATGTGAGTGTCCACCTGCTTCCTGCTGGGACCCTCACAGATACACACCGGGGCCCCAGAGTCTGGGAGGGCTTACTGTGAATCCGATGCCCACGGTGGCCGAGAAGGAGCCAGGGATGAACTTGCCCTGGTCGAACTGAACCAGCAGAGATGTCTTCCCCACACCGCTGTCACCCACCAGGATGGTCTGAAAGGGAGCAAGAGAGGGGTGAGCATCTGCAGTGTGCATGGGGCTTCTGAGATGCTGTTGTGGCTGTGGGAGCAGGCTCCTTCTAATGCACACACACACACACACACACACACACACACACAGAACTCTTGATTTCCTATCAAAGTCACTGAAGAGGATGAACGCATAGGAGAAACCTTGTCACCCCATGTAGATGAACATCTGAAGGGACCATGAGAACTTGCCTCTCAGACTTCCGACCAAGAGGGCATACTGACTGACACCCACTGTGCTCTCCGTGGTCCCCCACAGTGTGCTTGCACTGAGGCCTTGCTTCTTACTGGCAGTTCCCAGCCAAAGGCACAGTATGGTAGGGGCACTGAGGCAGGTCAGTCACTGGGAGCCACAAGATTCCCCTAACGGCCGAATTTGGCTTGAGGATTTCCTCACCATTTCACGGATCCTTCCAGAGACTTTCACACAACCTTCCTGCCCTTTCTCCTTCGCTTGGGGTCATACCTGCCTCATGATCTGTGGGCTCTCCCCACCTCTCCCAGCTTCCTACCTGATTTCTTTCATAAGTATTTCACCTAATAAAATCCCTGCACTTGTAATTCCCTTTGGCACCAGCTTCTCGGAAGAGAACGTCTTGAGACATGCCTTGGGAAGAGTTTATACTTGGTCATGGAGCAGGGCATTGGAGACACAGCATTTCAAGGGAAACAGAGTTTCAGAAAGAAGGGCCTGGCTACTTTTGTACATGAAGGAAGCAGTGGGGAGAATTAGCCTGGGAGGTCAGGTCTTATATTTGGAAGAAAATCATAAGCAACAGACAGGAAATATACATGCACCTGGAGGCCTGGGACTCAACAAGCTCTCAAAGAATGAATGAATGAATGAATGAATGAATGAGTGGGTAAATGCCTTAGTTTCAAAATGGATAGTAGCTACTTTCCAAAGACAACCCTTCAAGATCACTGGAAAGGCTTAAGAGATGTCAACTTTAGCTGGACTTGTAAAACCATAAAGATATAAAAACCCCAAAATGTAAAAGTGTAATGATGGACAGGTTCTCCTGGGGTTGGACCCATGGTCCCAACATTGTTTGGCTCTGACAGTGGCACTGAGCTAGCAGCAGGGCAAACATGGGATTGTTTGTGATGTTGACTTTGAATGTCCCCTGACTGTGGTCCCCCACACCCATTTCCAAACCAAATTTGATTCAGCTTTTATTTCCTCCTGGGTTAAAGGGCTCCATTTGCTTGTGTGCAGTGGCTTTAATAATTTACATCTCGGGGGCCCTGGGTGACTCAGTCAGTTAAGCTTCAGCTTAGGGCATGATCTTGAGGCTCATGGCTTTGAGCCCCACCTCCGGCTCTATGCTGACAGTGTGGAGCCTACTTGGGATTCTCTCTCTTTCCCTCTCTTCCTGCCCCTCCCTCACTTGCACTTTCTCTCTCTCTCAAAAACAAGTAAATGAAAACAATATAATAATTTACATCTCAAATCCAATTTCCTCAGGCTTGAAGAGGGGCTTCCTAGAAAGACTATTCCAGAATGTAAAGGTTCAGTCCGCTCATGTCCACCTTCTTCATTTATTAAAGGATATAACGTATTGACATTCTTTTCCCCTTTATTCTTTTCCTTTTCACGGGGAAGGATTCCCTTTCTTCTCTCCTCATATGAAAACATTTCCATCTTAATGGGAATTTCTCTGGTTTAGTGGGAACAGGGTTCATGGTGACAAGGTTCAGCATTTCAGGTCCTGCTGAATCCTGTCTGGGGGCAGGGGCAGGATGCTGCCGCCATGTTTTGGCGCAGAACTTCTGAGAATCCTATGTTCAAACCTGGCTTCTTGGTTGGGAGGAAGATATATGTGTCAAGGTAGGAAGTAAGAAGATAGGATACACTTGGTTTGATCAAATTAAAAAAAATTTTTAATGTTTATTTATTTTTGAGAGAGAGAGAGAGAGAGAGCATGAGCTGGGGAGGAGCAGAGAGAGAGGGAGACACAAAATCTGAAGCAGGCTCCAGGCTCTGAGATGTCAGCACAAAGCCCGGGGCGGGACTTGAACCCACAAATCGCGAGATCATGACCTGAGCTGAAGTCAGACGCTTAACTGAATGAGCCACCAAGGTGCCTCTTGATTTAATCATTTTAAGCTTGCATTTAGAATAATAAAATATTGAGACATGTGGTCTATGGGTGTCCATTTGTATTCTAAACATTATGGATGAGGCTGCCTAAATCCATTACCTTAGATACACTATGGAGTTATTCTCTTCACTCAACAGCTGCCAGGATTTTCCTGAAGTTTCTCCAGGTTGGCCCCAAATCTCACTGCTTGGAGAAGCTGAATGTCAACTTTGGATCCAGAATTTCCATTGCACCTTCCCTCCTCTGAAGCATTTGTGAAAATGTTAATTAATCGTGGTTCAAACAGAGACCTCTGTGCCAACTCTGCCACCATTCAGACAAGTGTTTCCGTTCTGTCTTAAGTCAGTTGGTTTATGTTTGTATTTGGCTCCATCCATTCCAAAAGGAATTTGAGGAATTCAAAACCCGCCTACACCAGAGGCCAGGTAATGATACCGCCTGAAGCAATCTTCCGCCCCAGAGTGACCTGGCTTGTTCCTATATCTGAGCGTTACATTTGCTTTTAGATTTCCTGGCATCCACGACAAAATGGGAAGCCAGATGGGGTATGTAGTACTTATTGCCTGAGTCTTCTCAATGAGTGAGTATTTTCTGCCGGCATGTAATGTGGAGAAGAATCTCTTATGTGGATTCTTATATGAGGGGCCTCTATTGACAAAATGGAAGAGTTGGGATTTTGCAGAGAAGGTGAAGCTTTTCCTATAGCTTTTCTATTGACTCTTTTTTTTTAATAAAAAAATTTTTTTAATGTTTATTCATTTTTGAGAGACAGAGAGAGACAGAGCATGAGCAGGGAAGGGGCAGAGAGAGAGGAAGACGCGGAATCCGAAGCAGGCTCCAGGCTCTGAGCTGTCAGCACAGAGCCCGACACGGGGCTCGAACTCACGAACTGTGAGATCATGACCTGAGCCGAAGTCGGGCGCTCAACCGACTGAGCCACCCAAGTGCCCCTCTATTGACTCTTGCTAAAAGCCAGGGCCTGACATTAAATCGCACTTCAGCAGACACTTCTCAGTGGGAGCTGGGCAAATGTTGCCTAAGTGCTCTGCTTTCCTGTGACTTCCTGACTCAAGGGGAACATTTAGAAAACCTAGGTGAATGGGGTGGTTACCATGGCTCCTAACTGACTCTGAGCCACCTTCTTAATCAGACAGGGAATTCAGATGCCATAAAGAAAAAGATAGATAGATCTGACTGTACAGACATAAAAATGTCCTGGTTGACAGAAGATACCAAAATGAAATGAGAAATGATGGAGAGGAAATATTTGCAAGATGTGTGACAGACAAAGGGTTAATACACGTAGTAGTGTAAAGAGCTCTCAAAAGGAAATCTCAGTAGGAAAGTGAACAAAGAATATGAGTACATAGATTGTGTGTGTGTGTGTGTGTGTGTGTGTGTGTGTGTGTGTAAATGTGTGTAAATGTGTCAACCTGGCCAGGCTATAGCATGTAGTTATTCAATTAAACACGAATCTCTATGTTGCTGTGAAGGTATGTTATAGATGTACAGATTATATATTACAGATATACAATCGGTTGACTTGTAAATCTTCAATAATCTGGATGGGCCTCATCCAATTAATTGAAAGAACTTAGAGCAAAACTGAGGTTTCCCCAAGGAAGAAGAAATTCTGTTCAAAATTGTAGCATCAGCTTCTCCCTGAGAATTTTCAGCCTGCCAGTCTACCTTACAGATTTTGGACAGGCCAGCCCCCCAGAGTCACGAAAGCCAATTCCTTGAACTAAACATCTCTCAGTATATTTCATCCTGGTATGTTTCTCTGAATCAATATAACATATAATGCTTTGGTAAAAGTATGATAAGGGTCAACATTGGCTGAGAGTTGGGGAAACAAACACTCGTACTTACACCATTGGTGGGAACATACGTTGGGGTATTTGGAAGAGCAACTGACAATATCTACTGAAGTTACAAATGCAAATTCCTTTGTCTCAACAGTTCTATGGCTTTAGTGCACAAGTTCACCAAGATATGTGTACAAGGATGTTCATCGCAGCATTTGTAAGCGCAAATAATCCAGCAATTGGGACTGCTTAAATAAACTGTAGGGGCGCCTGGGTGGCTCAGTCAGTTGAGCGTCCGACTTCGGCTCAGGTCATGATCTTGAAGTCTGTGAGTTCGAGCCCCGCGTCGGGCTCTGTGCTGACGGCTTGGAGCCTGGAGCCTGCTTCAGATTCTGTGTCTCCCTATCTCTCTGCTCCTCCCCTGCTCACACTCTGTCTCTCTCTCAAAAATAAATAAAGATTAAAAAAAAACCGAACTGTAGAATATCCATATAGTGCAATACTGCGAAGCTGATAAAAGAATGAGGTAGGGGTGCCTGGCTGGCTGGCTCTGTTGGTAAAGCATGGGACTCTTGATCTCAGGGTCGTTGAGTTCAAGCCCCACATTGAGTGTAGAGATTACTTAAAAAAAAAAGAAAAAAAAGAATGAGGTAGATCTCTATGTGCTGTTTGGGAAAAATGATATTATGGAGTAAAAAAAGGAGCAGCAAGATATGCTTGTGTGCTGACTTATGTTGACTTCACCTAGATACACAATGGAATTATATGGGTGTGTATGCTTCTCTACAGGGAGGCAGCAGAGACTGACAGTGGCTACCTTTGAGGTTCTGGGGTGGTGGGGTGGGGAATGGGGGTGGGGAAAAGGCTTACTTTTCACTTTATCTCTACCTTATTTATTTAATTATTTTATTTAATGTTTATTTCTTTATTTTTGAGAGAGAGAGAGAGCATGCGCAAGCTGGGGAGGGGCAGAGAGAAAGAGGGAGACAGAGAATCCGAAGCAGGCTCCAGGCTCTGAGCCGTCAGCACAAGCCCAACGCGGGGCTTGAACTCACAGACTGCGAGATCATGACCTGAGCCGAAGTTGGACGCTCAACCGACTGAGCCACCCAGGCACCCCTAATTACCTTTTAAAGAAAAGTGTTAACAGGGAGTATTTCAGAGTGGGCATTATCAGTCATGTTTTCTTTTTGTACTTTTCTGTATTAAAAATCCCTAGTAAGTGTAATAAAGTGGTTGATGAAGTAAATTCATACATGAGTGATCCTTTACTTAACCTGGAATAAATTGCTTTTCCACAGAAAAGAGTAAAACATTGGTTCTGGATATATATATCTATATATATATATATCTATATATCTATATTTATATATATATCTATATATATATATATCTATATATATATCTATATCTATATATATATCTATATATATATATATCTATATTTCACGTCCAGTGCAGAACCCAATGTGGGGCTTGAACTCACAACCCTGAGATCAAGACCTGAGCTGAGATCAAGAGTCTGACGCTTAACTAACTGAGCCACCAGGGCACCCCCACGTACATGTATTTACCAACAGTTGTCTTTGCATGGGGGAATCAGGAGTGATTTCAAATGCATTCTTCGTGTTCATTTATATTCCATTCTCCTTCTGTAATGAACACACACTCCTTTGTAATTCGGAAATATGTCCGTATGTGTTGGGAGGCATACTGTGCTGGGTAACTCATGTAAAAGCAAATAGGAACACTGATGTCCAGCCTAACTGTTGCTGAACAGATGCTTGATTTCATTTTTTCCAAATGAATCTAGCCTGCTACGCAATGCTTAAAGAAACGTCAAGTTTCTGAATGGCAGCATTTCACTTTGTGGATTTCAGCGAGTATTACCTTGGATACCCGAGGGGCACGTGGTAAGGCAGCCCATGCTCTGTCCTGAAAATTCGTGGGGCTCCTTCACCTCGTACTTGCAGAGGGTTAGCCGCCTCTCTGGAGCCCTGTGTTTTTCTCAAAAAGAATCTTTGCCTCTGCCCGAGTGCCTGGATAAGAACTTGGTGGAGACTTTGCTTCCCATTCCATAGACTGCAGAAAAAGGGCATTAGATCTGGAAACTGGGAAGGTCAGTGTTACCAGTGACTTGCTTTGTTAGATTAAGTTCCAGTTCCTGATAATACATCCTTTCATTCTGGGGGAACCTATTTTAGAAAAAACCATGGAGTGGATACCCTGCTGGCAACCAGCTCAAGGATGTGCTGTCTTATTAACTCTTGGTTGTCAGGTTCTCTCTTCATTGTGCGCACTGAACAGGATCGAGGGGCAGCTGGCTTCTCTCAACCCATCCAGCAGGAGGCAGGATGGCATGCTTTACGAGCCAGACCCAGGGTTGAATCCTGGCTTTGCCAATTACTAGCGTGTGAACTTGGACAAGTTACTTGCTCTCTGAGCTTAGATCTCTTTATTTGAAAAATGAGAGTAACGTCGCCTTTCCTCTGTATTTGTAGTGAGGACCTGATGTGATAACTGTATAAAATATGGAGCATAGCACGTAGTGGGTAGAAAACATGAGGTGTGGTTGGGTCCCGGGTGAACTGAAAGAGTTCAGAACAGTGGTTGAGAACAATTATGGTTGATGACAGTCCACAGTTCCTTAGCAGACCTTACAGGGCCAGGGTAAGAATGACGGCGTGCTGAAAACGGTTCATTTGTTTCTTCGTTTTCCAGCAATTATTTATTGAGCATGTATTACGTGCCAAATGTGCTTTTAGCCACTGGGGACACTGCTCTCAGGGATCTTCTAATCCAGAGTGGGAGAGACCCAACAAGACCAGTTCTTTCAGTCCAGGACCTCCTCCACCAATGAATAGTTTGGGTTCTGAAAATACCGCAGTTTGCGAGTCCACAGTGACTGAGAGAAATAGCTTGAGCAAATCTCTGTTCCTTATAACCCGGAGAACCCAACAAAGGCATCAACATACACGCGCATCACATCCACACGCATCCACATGCATCCATGTGTTCACACCAATTACCATGGCACACACAGTATGTACACATCTATAACACACACGTGTGCACACGCAGCACAAACAGCACAATACATGTATGTATATATAGCTCCCACACATGCCTACGTATAAACACGGATGCATCACACATGTGTTTATCCATGCATGCACACACACCCACGCATCCACAAGCACTCGTATTCATGCATGTGCATGTGTGCATTCACATGCACACACAGACTCACACACACACACACACACAGGTACTTTTAGGGCAAGGGAGCCTCAGATGATCTACCCAATCCTTTCTTTCATAGATGGGAACGTGGAAGCCCGCGGAGGGAACTGACTCATGCCGAAGTCAATGGCCAAGCTGGGACTAGGGCCTCCAGTATCTCTTTGAGGATGCAGGGTCCCCAGAACAGTCTGACTTTCCTGGAGTCCCCAGAGACATTTGTTTAGAGGAGCAGTCTTGCCACCACTCAGAGACACTCAAAGATAATTCTCTGTTCTTAAATTTTTTTTTAATGTTTATTTAATTTTGAAGGGGAGAGAGATCGGAGCGTGAGTGGGGGGAGGGGCAGAGAGAGAGGGAGACCCAGAACCCGAAGCAGGCTCCGGGCTCCGAGGTGTCAGCACAGAGCCCGATGCGGGACTCTAACCCACAAACCACGAGATCATGACCTGAGCCGAAGTCGGCTGCTCAACCGACTGAGCCACCCAGGTGCTCCTTTGTTCTTGATGCAAAAGGGAATCCTTCTTGGGTAAGCTGGGCCCAGGAGCCAGGGCCAGGCCGCAGGCAGAATTTGGAGGACCTCAGGTGCTGGTCACTCCTTACGGAATATGCCCAAGAAAGGAAAGGTTACCCACAACTCTCCAAACATCTGCCCCCCTGTTTTCCAGGACTGGCCCAACTTGCTTAATTCCTCAGTCATTTCCCCTGGAAGACGAATAGTGTCCGTGTTTGCAGAGGCCAATGTCTCTCAGCATAACCGTACAGTGTCCTGGGCAGAGGACGGGCTTGTCGAGCAGTGGGGACAGAGGGCTGACCCGAGCCCTCACTCGGGATTGTTGATCTTAGTTTGGAGATATGTAAAGTGAAAGGCTGTCTCTGGCCACATCCTGGAAAAGCTCGGCTTATCAGCTGGAGTATTTTTCTACGCAAACAAGCCTCCTGCGTACCTGCTCCTTCTTGATCAGGGTGAGAGGGGCTTACGTCCCTCCTTGGGACTCCCTCGCTTCTCAAGATGTCACGGGGTATGCGTGACACAGAGCAAAAGTGGCTCCGGGAGCAGGGGTACGAGAAATGGCCCTATGGGTTCCTAGCATCTGGGCTCCACCCCAGGGCCTGCTGGGATCCTGATGGGGAGGATGGGGGATGGACATAAAAATGTCAGGAAGAAGGAGTAAGGCAGGCAAAGCTGGTGTTGCCCTTCTTCCTACTTCCACAGGTCGTTATTGTAAGGTGGGGGGTGTGGAGCGAGGGGGTAACAGCCATGAGCAATGAGCCATTTTCTTCAGGAAGGAGCCCCTGGTAGAACTGACAAGTGTCTGGAGGGGTCAGGCTGGTATCAATATCCACAAGCTCTCACTTGGTGGTCTGGGGCACAGCAGAGAGTTTCCAGTATGTTCTGAGGACAGAGGCCCCTCTTGCCCATCGGACCGTGAGTTCCCTGCTCACATCCCCCTACTCTTTGAACCCTTTTCTTTGAAGTCTGGGGTTTGATACCCTCCACCCCCTCATTCCAATCTCTGGTCTAGAATTTCTCCTCTGGCTTTTGGGCTTTGGCCCAACCTCCCCCACAGCTGAGCTCCTGGGCTCCCAAGGGTGCATCTGAAATTCCATGTTTCTGGCATTGTATCCCTCAGCCTTGGCTCTCCAAGGCTTCCGGGATGGAGCTGCGTTCTCTCCGCCCAGTCTTCTCGCCAGAGGAGAAGCATTGGGCAAGAACCAGCCCGACCCGTGGGGTCCAGGTCTGCAAATTTCCGCAAGGCCTAGAAGGAGTGGCTGAGTCCTCTTTTTAGAGACCCCATCATGGTTGCAGACAGGAAGGTATTTCTCAAAAGCTTGCTTATGATCACTGTGACTTGTTTCATTGCTCGTTGCCTTGAGATCTCACCCGTTCTACTTCCTTCTGCTTTTTGCTTATTCACTGGTGGGAAGTGGCCAAAGGAGGAAGTGCAAGAGCGAGAGAAAGCAGAGGGGTTGGAAGATGCGGGAGCTGAGTCGGAGCTGACTGGCTCCACCAAGGGGGGCCCGGGCAAAGACAAGATGCACGGGCTCCTGTTCTTCCTCTTCCTTTTCCAGCTTGCAGGTGAGCGGGGCCCGGGTCTGTGCTAGAGAAGAGCTTCTGGGGCAGGAAGAAGGGGGCCCAGCAAGGGGTCCCGCTGAGAAGCAGGCTCCATTCTAAGGAGATTCTCCAAGTAGTGAGTCTGTGTGTGTCATCTACTCTATTCCTCTCCCAGGGTTTTGGTGCCCACTGTTGCCAGTGTGGAAATGTCAAGGGTGCCTTCATAAAGGAACCCCACACAAGGCAGAAAAGGCATGATTCCTGACCACCCAGGGGCTGATAATTCCAGATGCACAGACTGATGGGCCCCTCTGGTCCCAGAGAAGCAGAGGGGCCCTGGTGGCTCGGGAGAGCCGGCGAACGCTTGCTCCTGGACTCTCACCTTTGAGAATGTGTTATGGGGGAGGAAAGAAGGGAGAGTGGAGGGGGCTTTGGAGGAAAGAGAGCAGGGCGTTGGCCAGACAGGGAGGGAGAGGTGGTTCCAGGCATTTCGGGTAGAAGGAAACAGCAGAAGTTACTGAGGGGCTGAGTCGGAGGGCGGAAGGAAACTGTAGATTGATGGATAACATTTTGATGAAAAATTAAAGGTGGGGGCACCTGGGTGGCTCAGTCGGTTAAGTGTCCAACTTCGGCTCAGGTCATGACCGCATGGTTTGTGAGTTCCAGCCCCACATCGGGGGCTCTGTGCTGACAGCTCGGAGCCTGGAGCCGGCTTCGGATTCTGTGTTTCCCTCTCTCTCTGCCCCGCCCCCGCTCAAGCGCTGTCTCTCCTTCTCAAAAATAAGTAAACACTAAAAAAAAAAAAAAGAAAAGAAAATGATGGGGGTTTTCTTGACATGGAAATGCTGTGGCCAGAGGGCTCGGTGTTGGGCCTCTCTCTCGGGAGCCCCTGCCTCTCCTCTCTTGGCTTAAATACCACCTCTACCCCGATGATGCCCAATTTTGTATTGCTAGCATACATCACCCTGGACCCCAGAATCTTTTAATCAACTGCCCATTCCACATCTTCACTAAGATGTTGACATTTCAAATGTGACCTGAGCATATTTTTCCCCCTCGAATTCCTTTCTCTCCCATCTTTATGTTTGGCAAATTCCATCTTTTCTAGGTGCTGGGGCGAAACCCGGGGTTCACACATCTCTTCTGTCCTATCCTATAATGATCCTTGGCAAATGCAAGCCTGATCCTGTCTTTCCTCTGGTTGAGACCCTCCAATGACCTTCCATCCTACTCAGAGTAAAAATACAGAGACCTTCCAGAAGCTACACGGTGCAGCCCCTGGTTCTCTCACCTCCCCACCTCCCCAATCTCTGTTTCTACTCTGCTCCCTCGGCTCAACCCACTGCAGCTGCACCAGCCTCTTAGATGTTCTTTGAATGTGCTAGGTACACTGCTGCCTCAGGGCCTTTGCACTTGCGGTTCTCTCTGCCCAGAATGCTCTTCCTCAGATAGCCTCAGGCTCCAGTTCCTCGCACCCTGCATGTCTTTGATTCTCACTGAAGCCTTCATTAATAACAAACCTCATTAAAATTGCAATTCCCTTGCATTATCTTTCTCCACTGTTTGACTCTTCCTTCCCCCACCTTGAGAAAACAAACTTCAGGAAGGCAGAGATTTTTGGGCCTGAAACCATACCATCTACAGATCAGAAAAATAGTAACTATTAGTTGAGCGACTGAATGTATCCCATGGAGGGGGCAAATATGATTGCTGTACCCCACCCTCCATATTTCTTTTTCATAGAACTGAACATTCGATACTCTTCACATTAATTGGAGAGCACATACATTGCCCATGAGAATGTAAAATGGTGCAGCTACTTTGGAAAACAATGTGACAGTCCTGAAAATGTTAAACATGTGGTTGCCACATGACCCAGCAATTCCGTCCCGGGTGTATACAAATGTGAATGTTCATGGCAACATTATTCATAATCGTTAAAAGCTGGAAATGACCTAAATGTATACCAACTGATGGATGAATAAATAAAACATGTCATACCCGTACAATGGAACATTATTTGGCCATAAAAACAAATGAATACTGATACACGCTGTAACACAGATGAACCTTGAAAACATCAGGCTAAGTGAAAGAATCCAGATGCAAAAGGCCATATATTATCTGATTCCATTCCTACGGAATTTCCAAAATACCTAAATTCATAGAGACAGAAAGGAGATTAGTGGCTGCCAGGGGCTGGGCAGGGGGAGGAGGAAGGGAGTGTGTCTGGTAAGAGTAAGGGGTTTCTTTTTGGGGTGATAAAAATGCCCTGGAATTAGATGTGGCAATGGTAGCACAGCTCTGTGAATGCCCCAAGAACCGCTGAGCGGTACCCTTGAAAAGAGTGAATTGTATGGGAGGTGAACCGCCTGTCGAGGAGCAGAGGGAAGAATTGGGAGCAGTAGATCTCTCGAGGAAAATCTCCGGGTAGCCTGAGGCATTGTGTGCATCTGAGGCTCTAACGGGTGCTCATGGCAAGCGGAGGGCCCTTTGTGACTTGTGATTCTTTTTCATGGCCGAATTTGATCATCCGTTCCATCAGTCGGAGAAATGAAAATGATGCCTCCAAGAAGCGGTGTGTGCTCAGCGGAGAGCCGGAGAGCCGAGCTAGGTGACCCGACGCAGAGAGACTCGGAGAGGGGGGAGGTGGTGCTGTAGATGGGCTGCAAGGAGCCTCTGCGAAAAGACGGCTGAGCAGACGCCTGGCGGACGAGAAGGATCGGGGCGGGGGGGGGGGGGGCGGCGGGGCGGGCAGCTTTTCAGGCACAGGGAACAGCAAGCTTGAAGTCTGTGATAGGGACTTGAGTCTGGCCTGGGCAGGTCTGAGGAACAGACGGGTCATGTGGCTTGGTCATGTGCTTCACAACAGCGCCGTGGGGCAGATTGGGAGCCTATCATTCTGTCTGGCAGAAGAATCGTGGGGGAGGAACGTGAGGCGTCCAGGACCACAAGGCTGGTAAAGGCAGAGCCCGGGGTGGGTCGTAGGAATGGAGAAGGCCCACGTTGGATGCGCCCTTAGGAGGCAAATCAGCAGGGCAGCGAATGTGCATAAAAGACTGCTTCTTTCTCTCCCCGACATCTGGAAACAGGGGAGGTTGGTGAGCAAATGTGAGAGTAGGGCTGGTGGCGTGTGCACGCACGTGCACGCGCTTGGGTACGTGTGACCAAGGCAGAGTGAGAACAGCGGTTGGAAGCCAGCAGGCACAGCTGGGTGCCAAGCAGCCACCTGGTGGGCGCTGTGAAGCTTTGCCCCCTTCACCAGCCTCTCCCACGGAACTCGCCATAACAAGCTACCGTTTTACCCCTCACCACTTCCCATTTCTGAAGAGTTTATTGTTGGGGCCCCGGGGTGGCTCAGTGGGTTAGGCGTCCGACTTCCCCTTGGGTCATGATCTTGTGTTCATGAGCCCTCATCTGGCTCTGCCCTGACAGGGTGGAGCCTGCTTGGCATTCTCTGTTTCTCTCTCTCTGCCCCTCCCCTGCTCTCTCTCTCTTTCTCTCTCTCTCTCTCTCTCTCTCAAAAAAAAAAATCATTAAAAAAAATAGTTTATTGTTCTAAAGGCATACAAGAAACAACTATGAAGCAGGGTATCCCATTGGACTTTGCAGACTACTTTCTATGAGAAAGGAAGGGATTTTTAAATACCCTATATCTTCAGAGAAAATTAGCCCTTTTGTCCAACTTCAGCCTCGCCATGAGTGGTGGCAGACACTGGGCAAGACTCAGGTGTGCGGGGCCCAGAGTGGAGACTGGCTGATGTCCTGTGCTGTGTGGGCGTAGGGGTCCAGTCCTGTCACTCACTGATGGTGAAGCTGTCACTTCCCTCTGGGGCCCAGCTTCTTCCTCATCTGGGACTACTCCCCATCAGCTAGTCTGTGAGTAACCACGTCTGCTGAGGATGCTGCTCCGTGGGCCTCAGGGGTGCCTTCTGCGACGGGAGGCTTCAGACAGCAGGGCGGGAGCTCTGCCGAGGTTGGTGGGGAGGGAGCGCCGGGACAGACGGTTCTAAGAAGCGAGTGGAACAGACAGTTCAAGAGTCAGGTCCAACACCAGTGCTCAGGTGAGATAGGCTAATGCCACCTTATTAGTTTCCTAAGGCTGCCACATAAATTACTGCAAACTTAGTGACTTAAAACAACACAGATTTATAGTGTTAGAGTCTGGAAGTCAGAGTCTAAAAAGGTCAACGGGGCTGCATTCTTTCGGGTGGCTTTGGGAGGGAATCAGATTCCTTGACTTTTCCAGAGGCTGCTGTGTCTTTGGTGTGTGGCCCCACATCAGTCTTCAATGTCCCTTCTCCTCTGGCCCTGACCCTCCTGCTTCCCTCTGATAGGGAGCTTTTTTTAAAAAAAATTTTTAATGTTTAGTTACTTTTGAGAGAGAGAGAGAGAGAGAGAGAGAGAGCGCGCGCGTGCATGAGTGGGGGAGGGGAAGAGAGAGAGAGAGACAGAGACAGAGACAGAGAGACAGGGAATCCTCAGTGGGCTCCAGGCTCCGAGCTGTCAGCATAGAGCCTGACGCAGGCTCGAGCCCAGAAACTGCGAGATCATGACCTGAGCCGGAGTTGGACACTTAACTGACTGAGCCACCCAGGCGCCCCCTCTGATACAGATCTTTGTGATGATTTGGGCCCACCCAGATACTCCAGTATAATCTCTCCATCACAAGATCCTTTATTTAATCACATCTATAAAGTCCCCTTTTGTCACGTGAGATTGAACATATTTTACAGGCTCTGGAGATTGGGATGTAGACATCCTTTGGGAGCCATTATTCTGCTTACCATGCCATGAAACAGCCCTGTCCAGGCATTATTTTTTTCCCAATCATTTTGAAAGTAATAAATGCTCATTGTGGATACTTAGGGAAGTACAGAAAAAAAAGAAGAATTAGGAAAAATTAAAAAAACCTATGTCCCTGATCTTAATGCCCAAGGCAACCCAATGCTAATTTTTAAAAAATATTTATTTATTTTTTGAGAGAGAGACAGAGGGCAAGCAGGGGAGGGGCAGAGAGAGAGGGAGACACAGAATGCAAAGCAGGTTCCAGGCTCTAAGCTGTCAGCACAGAGCTCGATGTGGGGCTTGAACCCATGAACCACGAGATCTGTGTTGAAGCCGGACGCTTAACCTACTGAGCCACCCAGGCTCTCCAATCCAATGTTAATTTAACATTTTAACTTATTTCCCTTCAATCTTTTTTTTCTGTGCATATTTAAAAAGTTAGTTGAGATTATACTGTATATGAGATTTAAAAATCCATTTTAATTTCGTAGGAGGATTTTCCACACAGTTAACAGTATTTCTAAGCAAATTATCAGTGCCTGCATTACATTTTATTGAATATTTATTTTCCCAGTTGGTGGATGTTAACCATGTTTCCTTTATTTTTGCTATTTAAATAATTACGTAATGAATCTTGGTGCATAAATTTAAAAAATTTTTTTAATAAAATATTTTTAAGTTTATTTATTTTGAGAGAGAGAGACAGAGAGAGCGAGTGGGGGAGGGGCAGAGAGACAGGGAGAGAGAACATTCCAGGCAGGTTCTGCACTGTCAGCACAGAGCCTGACATGGGGTTCCAACTCACAAACCTCGAGTTCACGATCTAGGCTGAAACCAAGAGTCGGACACCTAACCGACTGAACCACCCATGTGCCCCCCAAATTTTTAAATTTAATTTTACAGAGAGAGCAAGCAAGCAGAAAAGACGGAAAGAGGGAGAGAGAGAGAGAATCTTAAGTACACTCCAAGCCCAATGTGAGGCTCAAGCCCATGACCCTGGGATCATGACCTGAGCTGAAATCAAGAGTTGGAGAAATCAAGAGTTGGATGCTCCACTGACTAAGCCACCCAGGCATCCCTTGGCGCATATATTTTTGTTAGCTTCTCTGTCAAATCCTAGACATATAATCACTGGAGCAAAGGGCATGATTATTTTGCTACATAATTGCCATATTACTTTCTGTAATGGTTGAACTGGTGACATACCTCCCAGCAGCTTCTCTGAGTGTCTGAATAGCCATTCCACATCACCCATGTCAGCAACATAGTAGTCACAAAAACTTGGTTGATTTTATATATGAAAATGACATCACTTTAAAATGTTTTCATTTGCAAAAAAAAAAAAAGTTTTCATTTGCTAGATATTTTAATTGAACATTTCCAATTTTACTATCCATTTGAATTTCCTCTTTGTGACTTGCCTTTTCTTGCCCCTTATCAATTTTTTTTTATAATGTTTACTTAGTTTTGAGACAGAAAGAGAGGGACAGAGGATCCAGAGCGGGCTCTGTGCTTACAGCAGATAGCCCGATGTGGGTCTCGAACTCACAATCCTGGGATCGTGACCCGAGTTGAAATCAAGAGTTGGATGCTCAACTGACTGAGCCACCCAAGCACCCCTATATATTCTTTTAAAAAAATGACTTAATCCTTTTCTACATTATTTGTTTCAAATATTTCTTGCAGTGTGTTCTTTGCCTCCATGCAGTCTGTTTTCTGGTATGTCCAAATGTTACATTTTTTTAATATGTGGTCAAATTTACTGACTCCTCTGTGATGAAAATTTAATTTTTTAATTTAGAAAGTGCCCCCTTTCATTCAGAAATTTTTCCTTTTTTTAAAACATGTATTTATTTTTGAGAGTCAGAGCACCAGCAGGGTAGGGGCAGAGAGAGGAGACACAGGATCTGAAGCAGGCTCCAGGCTCTGAGCCATCAGCACAGAGCCCGACGCTTGGTTCAAACCCCCGAACCGGGAGATCATGGCCTGACCTGAAGTTGGATGTTTCACTGACTGAGCCACCCAGGCTCCCCTTTTCATTCAGAGATTTTATAAAGACTCCTAATTTCCTCTAGTTTAAGAAGTGATTTGCTATTTTGTGTTGACCTTCTTAGTCTCCCTATCTTTACCTACTTGGAGCATGTGGAGAGGTGAAAGAGTCCAGCAACACTTGTGCAAAACTGTCCCCTTCCCCACTTTTTTTTTTTTTTAATATCTCCTATGGTACATTATACTCCAGAGAGTTGAAAACCTATCTCTAGGCAAATACCAATAGTACATCAATGTTCACAGCAGCATTATTCATAATAGCCCAAAAGGGAAAACAACCCAAGTGTCATCAATTGATGAACAGATAAACACTGTGTGGCCTATCCCTACCACGGAATGAAGTGCCTGCATAGGCTATACCATGGACGAGCCTTAAAAACATTACACTAAGTGAAAAAAGCCAGACACAAAAGGCCATACATTGTATGACTACATTTATACGAAATGTGGACTTCAGAGCAGAGAAGTCTATAGACAGAATGTAGACTAGTTCTACCAAAGGAGCAAATACCGGGTACAGTGTTTCTTCTGAGGTGATGAAAATGTTCTGGAATTAGAGGTGATGGTTGCAAAGCTCTGTGAATATCCCCAAAACACCAGAGTAGATGATTTAAAATGAAGAGTAAAGGGTGCCTGGGTGGCTCAGTTGGTTAAGATCTGACTTTGGCTCAGGTCACGATTTCACAGTTTGTGAGATTGAGCCCCACGTTGGGTGAGCACGAGCCCAGCTTTGGGTAAGCCCTGCTTCTTTCTCTCTCTCTCTCTCTCTCTCTCTCCCCCTTCACTCAAAAAAAAAAAATTGAGTAAAATTCATGATATGTGAATTACATCTCCATTTTTATTTTAAAAAAATTTTTAATTTGTATTTATTTTTGAGAGAGAGACAGAGACAGAGTGCGAGTGGAGAGGGGCAGAAAGAGAGGGAGACACAGAATCTGAAGCAGGCTCCAGGCTCTGAACTGTCAGCACAGAGCCTGACACAGGGCTTGGACTCGTGAACTGTGAAATCGTGACCTGAGCCAAAATTAAGAGTCGGATGCTTAACTGACTGAGCCACTCAGGCGCCCCAAGCCAGTGTTTTAAAATGGAGAGGTTCCATATAAAATCCAGATTCCTGGTTACTCTAGAAAAATTAAAAGGTCTGAAGCCACAGAGCCCACATCTTGCATGAGGAGAGTGGGCCAAAATGTACTGGGGTCTTGCTTTCGTTCAGTCATTTGCTCTCCAGATGACTTTGGCCACGGGAAGGGGGTGGGGTGGACTATAGAAAGCTGTCATTGCTCAGTGTTGACATTTTTGATTCTTTGAGATCTGTAGTTGTGCTCTTAGGTGATTTCTATGATGGATTTGACCCAGTGGAGTTTTGAAGGACAAAGATCTGTGTTGTGGAAGGTCTATTCCTTCTTTGACTGTTATTCAACTCATGAGGTCCTTGGGTTTATTGGAATCATTTGTGATGCAGGAGGCTGTGGCTCTTCCTCAGGAGGTGAGATGGGGTGGTGACAGGCACATGGATTTGTGTTTTCCAGGCTCATCTGATATCTCGGGTCCAGAAGCAGTCAGAGGCCTGGTGGGGGGCTCACTGACGGTGCAGTGTCACTATGTACAAACGTGGAAGAACAGCAAAAAGTGGTGGTGTCGAGGAGCCAACTGGGGAAACTGCCATATCCTTGTTAAAACCGATGGGTCAGAGCAGGAGGTACAGACAAAAAATGTGTCCATCAAGGACAATCAGAAAAACCTCATTTTCACCGTGACCATGGAGAAGCTCAAGCAAACTGATGCAAATATTTACTGGTGTGGGATTGAGAGATATGGAGTTGACCTTGGGGTCAAAGTCAAAGTGACCGTCCACCCAGGTAAGAGTATGTGTAAGTGTGGCTGTGTGCCTTCAGGGCCCACTCTGTCCTGGGCTCTAAGATTCCTCTCCAGTGACTTCAGTGTCACTCAGAGTGAACTGTCACACAGGGTGGTTGAGTCCTGAGCTCTCTGCGAACCCAACTGACCCCTTGGGGTTGAGAGGGACAGGGCTTCTCTTTGCTCTCTTGGCTCCCAGCTTCTCCTCCAGGATGGGATTGAGCTTGTCTGGGCATGTGTTTCTCTGCACGGCTCCGAGCCCGAGTCTATTGCTAACAGAGGTCAAGGTGATGGTCCCAGTTTCAGCCCATAGGACAAAGGGACCTCCTTCCAGGGGACCCAGAGACCCCAATTCTTGCCAATGCTTCCCTGGACTTCTGGTACCCTGAGTCCCTGCTCTTCCTGGAGTTTAGGGCCGGGACTTCATAGCGGCTATTCCCCTGCTCTGTTCCGTGCCACTCTCAGGGGGAAGGGCCCCAGCATAGTCGTGGTGGTGTAGTTGATTCCTGAGGTTCAGAATGGCTTCCACAGTGAAAAAGCTGTTTACTTCTGCTCCTGTCCTTTTTGAATAAATAAGATTGGGGAAGGCATTGGCAAAGGCCTTGTCATAGGCAGTGTGAATGTTTAAAGTCCGGCTGAATTCCAGCTGCCTTTGTCCTGAGGTAACACTAGGCCCCCTCTAATCCTTCCAGGGCCTGCTCAACATCCTCCCTGGACCTGTACCCAGTCCTGCCTGCCTCTGAGGCTGAGTATCCTAGGGGTCAGGGAGAAAAGAGCGGTCTAGGCTATAGGCCCTTCCCTTCCCACGGCCCAGCTCCAGGCTCCCCCTGGGCTCAGAGCCATGTGCAGGGCTGTGGGCAGGTTAGCAGGCTGAATAGTGTATAATCTGGTCTATGTCTAGCACCAACTACAGTGTCAACCACCAGCTCAAATGCCCACATGTCCACAACGCCAGCAGAGACCAAAGGCCCCCCGACTATGACCAGCCACCACTACGATGGCAGGTAAGCCAGTTCTGGTGTGCTGTTTCCTGTGGTCTGCTTGGTTTGAACTCCTCCAATGGGGGGGTACCCTTTGCAGTCCTAGGGTTCCCCTAATTACCGTTATGGCAAGAACAGTGGTATTGATGATTTGTCCCATCTCAGGAGCACCTGACAGCTCACAGAGGGCTTTCTTGTCCATTGTCTCTTAATTCTTTGACCCTACTCACGAGGAGGAGTAGGCAGATACACATGTTCCCATTTTATAGAGGAAGAAACAGTCTCTCTCATGCTTCTTAGTAGCCTGCCTGGCCAGTGCAGCCAAAGTGGCTTTCTAGAAGTTGAGAGGCCTCTCTCCAATTCCTCCTATGCCCTCTTGACCTTGTTTCTAGATAGGATGATCTCCTTTTGCCCGGCCTTCCTGTAGAATCCGAATGGGAGGTCTCCAATCTGTCTACTCTCGCCTGGAATCCTTTCTTTTTCTCTTTCCCATTTGTCTTCTGTTTCAAAAGTTTCTTTCTACTAACCTTCTTTTAATAAGTAATAGCTAACAGGGCGCCTGAGTGGTTAAGCGTCTGATTCTTGGTTTCTGTTCAGGTCATGATCCCGTAGTTCGTGAGATCAAGCCCTGCATCGGGCTCTGAGCTGACAGCATGGGGTCGGCTTGGGATTCTCTCTCCCTCCCTCCCCCCCTCTCTCCCCGCCCCACTCATGTAGAATGAATTCATTCTACAAATTCTGTGACTAGTGACAAATAAGAGATAGTCTTTGTATGAGTTTGCTCAGGATGCCATGACAAAGCACCATATCCTGGGCCACTGAAACAACAGACATTTATTTTCCCACTGCTCTGGAGGCCAGAAGGATGAGATCAAGGTGTCTCAGGGTTAGCCTCTTCTTGGGGCTCAAAGGGAGAAGTGGTCCCATGCCAATCTCCCAGCTTCTGATGTTTGCCAGCCATCTGGGGGGCTCCTTGGCTTGTGGGAGCATTAACCCAATTTCTGCCTCTGTTGTCACAGGGCCTTCCTGTGCATACCTGTGTATGGCTAGATTTCCCTTTTGTAAGGACACCAGCCATTGGATGAGGTCCCATCCTAATCCAGTATGACCTCATTTAGACTTGATTACATCTGCAAAGATCTTATTTCCAAATAGGTCACCTTCACAGGTTGGGAATGAACATGAATTGTGGGGGTGGGGGACACTATTTGGTCCAGTACAGCAGGACAAGCGTAGAAGCAGGGAGACCTTTCCAGAGCTCATTGCCATATAGGTGTCTGGACCCACTGAAACCCTGTGGAACCCTCCTCTCCTTAAATTTTTTTTTAAGTTTTTTTTTACCATCTCTGAGGGTACTCAGGAGTGGGATTCCCAGGCTGGAAATCACAAGGCCTCCAGGTCAAAAGGTGTTGGCCTTCCTGGCTTCCAGGCAGCTGGGACAAGGCCCAGAAGCAGGAGGCAGGCCGGGGTGCATGGTGTCTTTCTGTTGTTTCCAGTGCTGACTCCATTAACCTCAGCATCCTGCTTCCCCTCATCTTTGCCGTGTTGCTGCTTCTCCTGGTGGCGGCCTCACTCTTGGCTTTGAGAATGATGAAGCAGCAGAAGAAAGGTGATCAGATTCAGCCGCTGGTGCTGAGCTGGGGCTGGGCGGGGGGCGGGGTGGGGGGAGCTGATGGCTGGTTCTGCCTCCACGTTCTCAGGGTAAATACACCCCTCCCCTCTCAGAACCCACAAGGACCCGAGGTCTCCTGGGGTGCTCTCCAGTCCCCCCACTCCTACCACAGCCGGGGGACTCTTGTAGTCAAGGGCGAGGGGCGGGGGGCACTGCTTTTCTCCTAGATGTATGTCTGGGGCCTAAGTTCTAAGTTTCTGTGCTCCTGAGTATCTAGGCTTTTGAAACTAAGAACCAGGAGAAAAGAACCTGTTTCTTTGTTGCCTCTAATGGGGGTGGGGTGGGGGTGGGGGGAGAATCAGGGGTAGAGGCCAAGGGGCAGAGAGAAATAGGAACCACCAGCACTGAAAGCTGGTCCATAAGGTTCTGACCTAACTCCTGCACCCCACTCAGAGGGCAGCCTGCATGGGGCACCATGCTGGGTACCAGGCACAGCCAAGCAACTGGAAATGCAAGGAAGGGATGGGCTCAGCTGCCCAGCAGCCCCTGGCCCACTCGAAGACTAACTGGAATTGGGTGGATCACAGGAGACGAGACAGACCTAAATCAAGGGCCATGGAGCTGGGGAGGGAGGGGTTCGGCACCCCGGGTAGCTGGGAAGGCAGGCGTGACTTTGAGTTGACTCCCGAATGATGGATGATGGTGGAGACCCGGGGGCATCTCGGGCAGGACTTCCGGCAGAAGTTATATGTGCCTGCAACTGCCCAGCAGGAAACTTAACCACACGGGCACCAAGGGCCACCAGATCAGCTGATGACAGTTCCTCGATGTGGGGAAGATTGGTGAGGTCTCCTTATTTCTCAGGTGGAGAAGGGGCAGCTTGGAGAGGTAGTGACCAATGTCACAGAGTGTGTCATCTGAGGAGTCAGAATCGGAACCAGGTCTCACGTCTCTGAGTCTGGAGCTGAATCCACCTCTTATCTTCCAGATTTCTCTTCCCCAGACCCGGGGGCCCTGTGAGTCTGGAGACGGGCTTTCTGATTTTGATTGTTTTTGTCTTTTAGCTGCTGGGCCATCCCCAGAGCAGGTAAGAGAGCTTCTGAGGTCAGATCAGAGACACCAGATCGCGCCTTCCTCTCTTTCCTCATTGTCCCCGGAGCGCTGTTGTCCAAACCTATCAGACAAACCGTGTCCTTGTGCTCACGGCCCAGCTGCAGAGCCTGGGAGGATGGGATTCTGGAAACAGACAGAAGGGGGGAGGGCGGGAAGGGGGTAGGCATGGGGGCTGCAGAGGAAGCTGGGAGAGGGGGGCCTAGGGAAGCTTGGCCCCGTAACCCTCTGTGGAAGACGACCCACTTCCTCTCCCAGGTGATGCAGCCGCTGGAGGGGGACCTCTGCTATGCAAACCTGACCCTACAGCCAACCGGCTCCTCCCAGAAGAAGGCCTGCACAAAGCCCTCCTCCTCTGCCCTGGAAAACCAGCAGGAAGTGAATTATGTCACCATGGTGTGTACCTGGGGCTGCTGTGGGCCTTAGAGCCAGATAGGCTTTCTCCTGCCCATGTGGGCACAGAGGAAGAGGGGTGGGTGCTGGGCAAAACCACAGCCATTGAGAGACTTGCCTCTGGAGCTCCCCTCCACACCTCCCTCCTCCCCAGACTTTTGGCCTTTGGATGTGTCTCTACAGCAGTCCTTGGCACTGGAGGATGCAGAGTCCCATCAGACATGGCCCTCATGCTGGTTGGGTCACAAGCCAGACAGGTCGTGACCTAGAATTCCCTGCGAAGGGTGCTGCCCTTGTTCAGAGTCGAGGGAAGGTCTTCTGCTGTGGTTGGAGCTCAGGGAGCTGGCAGAGGGAAGGCGACAGGAGCTGGAGGGTCTGGGAGGAGCCTTCAGAAACCCTGAAGGCTCTGTTTCCCCACCTCATCCAAGGCCTCCTCCGTGCATGGGCGTAACCTCCTGCCTGCCTCTCTGACCCCTTGGGCATCTTTATTACAGGCCCCCTTTCTGAAGGAGAACATTTCCTATGCGGCTCTGTCTTGGGAGCTTTTGGATCAGGAGCCAACCTACAGCAACACAGACGTCCTCGTCACCCACGTTCCCAGAAGGAACCCTGAGGAGTCCATGGAATATAGCACCATCAGGAAGCCTTCGCCTAAGCTCCAGGCCCCCCTCTCCAACCCCACACAAGGCCTGTGAACATGTTCCTGTTTTGTCTGCTTTCTGTCCCCAGTCACTTCATGGGGACCAACTGGTGACTGAAGCCTTGGTCTGGTCCAGCTAGCGTCACTTCGTCTTCCATCTGGGTTTGGGGCCTGGTCTCAAGGGGCTTTCGAGAGGTAGACGGGAGTCTCTCTACATCCTTTTTCCTCTCACATGGCTTGGGAGGGGCTTAGGGATAGGCTCTGGAGCTGCCAAGGGAGTAATAAAGATAATGATAATAGTAATAATTAACCTTTATTTATTGCCTACCACATATGGTGGGCTGAATAATGGCCCCCAAAGTTATCTGTGTCCCCATCCCCAGAACCTGGGAACATGGCAAAGGAGCTACGTGGCTGTGTGAAGTTGAGGATTTTGAGATAGGGAGAGTATTTTGGATTATCCAGGTAGGCCCTAAATATAATCACAAGGCTCCTTGTAAGAGGGAGGCAAGAAGGCCACAAGAAGAGAAGGTGGCAGATGACAGAAGCAGAGGTTGGAGAGATGTGGCCAGCAGCCTCCAGGAGCCAGAAAGGGCAAGCAGTGGATTCTCCCTTGGAGCCTCTAGAAGGAACCAGCCTGCCAACACCCTGACTTTATAGTCCAGTGAAACAGACTTTGTATTTCTGGCCTTCAGAATTGTAGGAGGATAAATTGGCATTGTGTTAAGTGGAGCCAGTAAACGTGCGGTAATTTGTCACGGCAGCAACAGGAAATCCACATGCTATGTGGCGCCTTCCCTAAACGCTTTGCCCGCAGTAACTAGTTTTTGAGTCCCCACAACAACCCTATGAGGGCTCCTTTGTTATGGCCCCCATTTTCCTGATGAGGAATCAAGGTTCAGGGAGGTTCAGTGACTTACCAAGTTTTATCGTTAGCAAGTGGATAAGTCGAAATTTGAACTTGGGCACTTCGGCTCCAGAGTCTGGAGTCGGGGCCACTATCCTGCACTGTGTCTAAGGAGGAGGGTGTGTGCGTGAGCCACGCACACAGGGACAGTTAGCGAGTATTTACAGGTGTCGGACTTCCAGTCTCTAATTAGAGTCCTGGCACCCCTCCCTCCAGACTAGGTCCTGGATCCCAGCATGGCTCGTTGTCTCTGTGGTTACCAGCCCAGTCCAAGCAACCATCCAGTCCCCTGCCTGTCGTCCTTCTTTCCTTCTCGGCCCCAGAGTCCATTCTCCTCCCAGCAGTCAGAGTGATCTTTTAATTTTATTTATTTATTTTAAAATAGTGGTTGAGCTCATTTATTTAAAAAAATTTTTTTAATGGTTATTTATTAAACTTTTTTTGATGTTTAAAAAATTTTTTTTTTCAACGTTTATTTATTTTTGGGACAGAGAGAGACAGAGCATGAACGGGGGAGGGGCAGAGAGAGAGGGAGACACAGAATCGGAAACAGGCTCCAGGCTCCGAGCCATCAGCCCAGAGCCTGACGCGGGGCTCGAACTCACAGACCGCGAGATCGTGACCTGGCTGAAGTCGGACGCCTAACCGACTGCGCCACCCAGGCGCCCCTGATGTTTATTTATTTTTGAGAGACAGTGAAAGAGCACAAGCAGGGGAGGGGCAGAGAGGGAGGGAGACACGAAATCCAAAGCAGGCTCCAGGCTCTGGGCAGTCAGCACAGAGCCCAATGCGGGATTGAACCCACGGATCAAGAGATTATGACCTGAGCCAAAGTCGATGTCTCACTGACTGAGCCACCCAGGCACTCCAATGCTTATTTATTTTTGAGAGAGAGTGTGAGCTGGGGAGGGGGAGAGAGAGAGGGAAACAGAGGATCTGAATCAGACTCTGCACTGTCAGCACAGAGCCCGATGCGGGGCTCAAACTCATGAACCATGAGATCATGACCTGAACCAAAGTTGAATGCTTAACTGACTGAGCCAGCCAGGTGCCCCAGAGGGATCTTTTTAAAGCACAGATGTGGTCACTCACTGCTTATTACCTTCTGGTGGCTTCTTCTGCAGCCCAGGAGGTCCAGGGGATACATGGGTCCCTGTCTGCCTCTATGACCCCAGCTCCAGCCACTGTCCTTCTGACAAGATGAAGCTTGCTGTTTTCTCAGGGCATTGACAATTGCTGTGTATCTTCTTTCTGGAATGTTCTTCCCACAGATGTGTGACTAGTTAGCTTCTTCTTTTTTTTTAATGTTTATTTATGTTGAGAGAGAGAGAGAGAGAGAAAGAGCACACTCATGTGGGGCCGGTGGGGGCGGGGGGAAGAGGGGTAAAGAGAGAGATGGAGAGAGAGAGAATCCCAACCAGGCTCTGTGCTGGGTCTTGATCCCACGAGCCACGAGATCATGACCTGAACCAAAATCAAGAGTTGGACGCTTAACCGAGTGAGCCACCAAGGCACCCCAGACTAGTTAGCTTCTTTGTACCATCACATCTGAGCTCACATTGTCCCCTCCCAGAGCAGCCTTCTCTGACCACCCTAATGGCAGTAGTCCTGCCACCACCCTTAATATCTCCCCATTGCCCTGTTTTACCTCCTTCATAGTGGGTACTGCTTTATGAAATTCATTATTGGCACGTGGGTTTATTGTTTCTCCCTCTCAGCTAGGCTCTAGGCTGCCTGAAGGTGAGGGTTTTGTCTCATTTACTGCTGTATCCCCTGTGCATAGCAGGTCTCCTACATGGTGGGTTCTTAAATGTTTTTATGTTGCCTTGAACGAATAAATAATGTGATGGTCCAGATGTGGGAACACAGGGCAAGCTTTCAGGAGCAGGGACGCAAGTATCTGTCATTCTAGGAAGGGCCACCTGGGCAGCCCAAGGAATTTCAGGATCAAACTCCCAGAATCATGAAGTGGAGAGATTTCTTTCATCCTCCTGAAGCCAGGGGAAAGAAGATTCCCTATGATTCCTCCTGACTGCAGGACAAAGGTCTATTACTTCACTTAGGTCTCTTTTGGTGGAGGCTGGGATGAAGCATCAGGGAGAGGAGTCACAGCTTGGGAAGAAATGATGAGCTATGCCTGGGGTTACAGGCAGTTGCCCCCACAGGTACAGGGGCCATAGAAGTGTTTATGGGCCGCTATTAATGACCTGGGGTTTACTGACTTCCCACAACCACAGACACCCCAGGCAGTGTGGGGGGAGGCAGACTTGGTGGATGCCCATCCCAGCATGTGTGGCTCTCTGCTCCTGTTCCCACTTCCTGAAAGATGATTGATTCCTTAGAACCTCAAGAGCTGTACCATCCTGGAGAGATTTGCAGAGCCTGGACAAACTTAAATATTACTGGACTGGTCATTGAAGTTTGTTGGGTTAGTGAGACTGTTTTTGACCCAGCCTACTTTAATTAATTAATTAATTCAGAGACAGTGCAAGTGGGAGAGGGGCAGAGAGAGAGAGGGAGACACAGAATCCAAAGCAGGCTCTAGGCTCTGAGTCGTCAGCACAGAGCCCAACGTGGGTCTCGAACTCATGAACTGTGAGATCATGACCTGAGGCAAAGTTGGACACTTAACCCACTAAGCCACCCAGGTGCCTCTGACCCAGCCAATATTCAGATTTACAGAGCAGGAAGTGCCTACGGAGGGATTTTTAAGTGGAAGAGCTCAAAGCAGAGCAAAACCAGAGTGAGTCGAAGTATAAGAATAACAGAGAGCCTTGGGCCAGTGCATTTTAGCGATTGTGCATAACGTGGCTTTATTGCTGAGTTTTTAGGCGGTCAGCACCTCACAGAACTTATAAGTACATGGTTATTCTGGATAGTGAGGCACTCATCTTTTCTGGTAATCTATCACAGACACCAATTAGTGTGCTGACACTTCTGACACAAATCTAGAAACCCAGGGAAGTTTAGAATTCAGCTCAGTTTGATCTGGTTGGAGGAATCTGGTTGCTTCTGCCTTCATCTTGACGGTAGATATGGGCTGGAGATGGAAAGTTCTGGCAGCCTAGCTGAACTGAGGAAAGGTAAATCCACTTAGAAAGACAGATCCACTCTGATCACTTTTAATTGCCTTATTCAAGCTTCTGAAAAGGTGTCTGTCAGGTATATTGCTGGAGATAATGTTTTAATCTGAAATTCCAGCCATCTGGGTTGGTGGCTGTCTGAAAAGGGACCTTCTCGTGTCCTGAGAGATGGGGTTGGCTAGCTCATGACATCTGGAAAAGCTGTCCTGTCCAATCTACATTCTGCAGCTGACTGGTGGCCCTCATGGGAAACATTCGGGTTCTTGGGGTTTGGGTCATGACTGCAGGGATCTGCCCTGCCTGCAGCCCAATTTGTTCAAGCTTGAGCTGATGTTTAGAGAGTGCTTGGGGGAAGTACTTGGAGGGGTGGGGTGGGGAGGGGAAGCAAACACATGTAAGAGGTTTGAAAGGAAACCGTTTCATAATGTTTATAGATTGGTATCCTGGTATTGTCTCAGCCATATCCGGCTGCTCCTTAAAGAATTTGTTAAGGCAGATTTTGGGTGTCGGACTAGTGCCTTTACTGCAAGAGCAAGGAAGTTCAGATATAGTTCCTCTGGTTTGAGTGAGAGTGACATTTGCCATTTTTGCTGTATGGTTTCCAGGAAAGCACATTCTGTTAAGACAGATTCCAAGATATTTAACCACTCGGCTTTGACTGAGTGCCTAATTATTTATAGCATGTTCTAAAGTTGCTGGGGTTTCCCTCTTTTGGTTTTTGAATTATTAATGTTTAAAGATTCCACAAATTGTAGGGTTTGGACAACCTCCTTTTGAGAACTGTATGCATATTACTGGCTTTCAGGAGACGCAGACTTTTTGAGAGTCGATTGAGAGAAAAATATACGGGGCTGGTAACTTTCAAAATACATGATTAGGGGAGGGTGCCTGGGGGGCTCTGTTGATTAAGCGTTCTCTGTTGATTAAGCGTTCGACTTCTGCTCGGGTCATAATCTCACGGTTCGTGGGTTCGAGTCCCGCATCAGGCTTTGTGCTGACAGCTCAGAGCCTGGAGCCTGCTTTGGATTCTGTGTCTCCCTCTCTCTCTGCCCCTCCCCTGCTTGTGCTCTGTCTCTCTCTCTCAAAAATAAATAAACATTAAAAAAAAACCCAAACCCCAAAATACATGATTAGGGTAAGTGTTGGACTGAAGTGACGCTGAAGCTTACCTTTGCATGACATCTTGAAAGTAGAGTTCATAGCCACTTAGCCTTGGAAAGGCCAGACTGCTGGAATAAGTTGATATCATGCACCAATAATTTTTTTTTTTACATTGGGAGGGACTATTACTGTGGTCAGCCTTTTATTTTACCAAG